ATAAAGCTTAGCTTGAATACATTAACATGTTCCTCTCCTATTTATAGGATTAAGAGGGAGGATTTTCCTCAACAGAATAGAGGATTTTCCTCAACAAAATAGATAAGATTTCCTTATATAGTGGGGAAATCTTATCTTCTATCAATACAGATGCAAAGCTTTGAGACTTGAGCTTATGAGTCTCTCTCTATCCATCTATCGAAACGTCATGACGATTAGCGATCTGCCATTAAACTTAAGCTCATCATATTTACCTTCCAATATAAATCGTCACTAGTCTCCGATCTCCGACCCTTTTGCTCATCAGTACATTCCGGTACGAATCCAACCCCACCAGATTTGAATGAATCCTCCGAAGCCAATTCAAATTGTCCACGGCACGGGCATTCCACAACGTCGGCACCAGCCATCGCCGTCCGGGACCGCGGAAGGTGGACGGGACCCACCGGTTCCCACTATCGTGGATCCTCGCCATTGGACAGTACATCGAACTCCGCCGCGACCCAAAGCAACACCGGTCCCTTTTACACGCGTCCATCCTCGAGCCACCCGCGACGCTCATATTTCTATTTATTCTTCATAGTATCGTCGTCGCAATGAAGCCGCCTCCGTGTCAGACCTGCTACGGATCTTCTCCACGAGTGCTCCTAATTGGGAAAATCCGGTTCATGGATGGACGCCAGTGATCTCTATCCACTGAACCAACGGTCGGATCTTCATCAAATCAACAGAAATTTTGTCGGTAAGACGCCGCGGACAACAACGGACTTGACCCTCACGCTTGGTCGCTTTGTGTGCGCCACGTCACCACTTGGCAGAGCTACCGGAAGCGGCGTACCATATGCTTCTTGTCGCTGATCTCGGTTGAACGGTTCAACCATGGTTCGATCATAAGTCAAAATATGACTTAACGACAACAATATAAAATTGAGGCCAATCAAATGTATTACGTTGGAGAAGATTTATTTGAGGTCAATCAAATTCAACAACTTAAATGTTTAGTGATGGGCTTAAAATCCGACCCATCTTGCTGCCTTTCTAAGTGAGATGGCACTTATTATTTTCTTCATCACGTGGAACGCTCGTGGCCAGAACTTGGTATGGAAACCAGGACTTTGGTCTAATAAAGAAATCAAGTGTTCCGTCGTGGAACGTAGTGCAGAGATGTGAAGCGAGAGCAACACCTCGATGGCGACGCGGTGTCCTAACAAGGTACACGTGTCCACACGTCGCGGTCGGTCACGGCCACCTCGAGCTATCATCGACGGCAGGTAACGAGCAGTTGCCTCTCTCCAATAATAACTAATCTAAAACAAAACGAAAAAAAGCGGACACTGTATCCCTCCCCCGTCCCTTCAATTTCCTTCGTGCTTGTTTCAGGAGACGCTCCTTCGCCCTTTCCCTTCCCTTTGTTCGATTGAAGAAACAGCCCAACCCCCACCACTTCTCCACACGAAACCCACATGGAGGAGATGATCGACGGCGGAAATCGCTTCTTGTGGCCCCCTCCCGCCGGTCCCTGCCGTTAATGACGGGCGGCTTCCTGCGTCGAGAAGATGGCCAGCGAAGGCGACTCCCCGGAGAACTGCCGCGAGGCACGGCGCCAGCGGATCGAGATGCGGATCCTCGGGGCTGCCGGAGAAGGCGCTGGACCGCCGAGCCGGAAGAGAGCCGGGAAGCTGCGGGAGGCCCACGAGGAGCCAGAAACCTCAGGATTCTCCGTGAGCGAGAAGCGGAACCGGGTCGCCGATGGCGGCGCTCCGTCTCCTCGTCCGCAGAGCTCCTCTTTGGCGGTGTCGGCATCCTCTTCCACGTCTTCGGCTTCTGACGGAGAACCTGTCTCTGTGGCGATCGGATCGACTTGCGGGTCGGTGCCGGCTGTGGCATTCGGATCGATATCGCTTGCCGGCCGGTCGAGGGAGATGGAGGACGCTGTATCCATCCAGCCGGATTTTTTCCGGGCGGAAGGAGGCCCCTCGATCCATTTCTTCGCCGTCTTCGATGGCCACGGTGGCTCCCACGTAAATTTCTAAGCCCGACCTCTTCTCGCCGTTTAGAACTACAATATGTGTTTGATGCTTTGAAAGTAAACAAAAACACCGGTCGTAACAAAATTCAAACACCAAGAGCAAGTTTCTGGTTACCTTCCGAATTTTCTAGAATATACACTACATGTAGGAGTTACGATTATGTTTCTGTAACAAAATGTTGGTGATTTAGCAGTAACAATTTTCTCTTGGTCCTCTCTATGAGAAACCGCTCGTACACTATTCGTGGCCTTGTGATCGGCAATCGACGGTGATCACCGACGTCGGAAGCCATGTTTCCAGCTATTGCAAGCGGCGATTTGGATGGTCGTAGCCGTCTGATGAAATCTCAACCTCGCGACGCAGGTCGCGGCTCTGTGCAAAGGGCAGATGCACGTGCTGCTGGCGGAGGAGCTTGGCCGGGCGGAGACGGAGACGGAGAGGGACGCGGAGGCGGAGGAGGCGCGGATAAAGACGGCGGTAGGCCGGAGCTTCGCGCGGATGGATGAGCTGGCGCTGATGGCCTGCGCGTGCGGGACGATCGGGCTGCCGCCGTGCGGGTGCGAGCGGTCGGGAACCGAGTCGGAGATTGTGGGCTCCACGGCGGTGGTGGCGCTCGTCGGGGGCGGCCGACTCATCGTCGCCAACTGCGGGGACTCGCGGGCAGTGCTTAGCCGAGGCGGCCGCGCGGTGCCGCTCTCCGACGACCACAAGGTTAGTCCGGTGGCATTTCTTGCAATTATAATCGGCTCCTGAGGGCCAATTTCTTCCGTGCGATCACCGTCCGCCACGTGGTTTACGCGATGAGTTGGCAGATGATTACGGTTAATTCCTTCCTGATGTGACCGGTGTCATCCGGGTGGACACGTGGTTCGACAAGATGTTTCGGTGACGAGATTCGGGAAATTTGTGGTACAATCGTGTGTCTTACGGGGGCGTTAATACTTCATTTTTGGCAGCCGGACCGACCGGATGAGCTGGCGAGGATCGAAGCGGCGGGCGGAAGGGTGATTTATTTGAACGGGGCACGCGTCTACGGCATACTGGCCATGTCACGGGCGTTAGGTACGAGATATACATTTTGAGCTGCCGTCTCTTTCCTTAACTATTGGGTATAGAACGAGTCTGATGGTTTCACTGAGTTGATCAATCTACTCTGCTACTCTGTTGAATAACTTCTTGGAATCTTACTAAATGTTAATGGAGCAAATAAAATTATGAAGCAAAATTTAATGCGCAAAATTTAAAAATTAATGCGAAATTCATTTGCTAGACAAATCTGAGAGTAGAAGAAGTACAAGGGCAACTTTGGTGGTCTTGACACTTTGAAGAACAGGGGTGATTGACTCTAACATTGCTCAAATTATATTAAGGACATTTGGAAATCCTTGTGAGTGGAATACCACCAATCTTTGAATTTAATATGCTTTTCCTTTTCTAGTAGTGGTTATTGATGTGGGTAGAATTTTTGTTTCTTACATTGCTCAAATTATAATAGGGACATTTGGAAATCTCTGTGCGAGGAGTACCTCCAATCTTCGAATTTAATATGCCTTTCCTTTTTGTAGTGGTTATTGTTGTGGGTAGAGTTGGCTTACAACTGCTCGGACACATGGCGCCGTGGAGTTTCAGATTAGACTTCCTCGGTCGACCAAAAGATAGTAGATTTGTAGAGAAACTTGATGCACCCGAATTAGACTGAGGGTTGCAATTTTGAATTCTTAAGCTATCTCCTTATTAGGTTGAGCCTCATTTAGTGGCCCTTTTGAGGAATCCGGCTTGCACTGGGATTCTATATCTTAGAAGCACGTACTCGTCTAAGTAGTTGTCTATTGATTGCACTCATTTATTCTTATCTTAATATTCTAAATATCTTTGCTTCGAGCACAAATCAGGACGAGGAATACCTTGCCAATTAGATCATTACAAGGAGTCAGCCAGCCATGATTAGTGGTGAGCCACCGCCTCTTAAAGGTACAGTGGAGGTGGGAGCCCTGCTAAAATTACACTTAAAGAGGTGGAAAATTTACTTCTCATGATTGAGATGTAGTGTGCCTCCATCCATTTGGATCCACCCCATTGTATAGTTGAAATTTAATTTTGCC